CCGAACAAATGTATGCCCTCACGGTCTCACGCCTTTACTACCTGAAATTTGTACATGATGTCAGCCCTTACAACTGGGATGTAATGGTTCCTGAAGCTACATATATACTGTATATACATGGTTGTGAGACGTGCAACCCTTAAACAAAAGTCTGGAATTTTTTATATAGAGCATAAGCATAGTGTGCAAAACCCAATTTTATTCCCTCCATGAATTGAGTTTGGTTACTCATGGCATGGATAGCACAAGTGTTTACCAGGTGACTCCTGTTCCAAGGGCTATCAGATGCTATCACCCTTTTGTAATCAAACAAAAGGAATGTGAAACACACATTTTAATTTTACCAAACAAATCTTGAGATATACTCTAAGTAAATATGTAGATGCATGACTTTCATTGCCAACTTAGATTGCCTGAGGGTAAATCCCCATGTGTAATTTCCTGATGTATGTTGTTTCAAGTAAGACTTCGGATGGTTTCATCACGTTGAATTAATTGCCCTCGATCCTTGATGGAAATATTTTTGATCTTGCGATGGACTTCGATGTTTGATAGAACGATGTTCGATGCTTAGAAATCCATGAAAATCCATGAAACCCATGAAGATCTCGAGGTTTGACAGCTCGATCCATAGGTTGTTTCTCCTCATCCCAAGCCTGGCCTGGAGGTTCTTTTTTTGCGCTGGCGGTGGATGCTCATCCAGTGTATGCGGACAGCTTCGACCTGCTGTTTGATCCAGTGGAGGCCGTAGATGCCATTTTCATCGAAGGTTCATGAACCACAGAGGTATGTTCATGCTCCGTTAGGGACATAATTACGGATGATTTGTGCTTTGTTGTTGTTTTTTTTAACTAAAAACTTTACAGTTCTTTGTTGGGAAAGATCCTCGTTTTGAGATGTTTGGAGGGGGGTCATGCTCAGCACTTGATGGTCTAAAGTGTGGCCTGTCCAGCGCTCCGGTTTCATCAAGAATGGGGTACACCCCAAATCTATCAACACCAAACTTGGTCTCATGTCTTCTTTACATCGGATTTTTGGCGATATCCGCATGTTTTTTTCTTTCATCTAATCATATAGGTGATTTTACCATATCTGTTTCCCATTTCAATGCCTATTTAGTGTTAGAATTTCTCAGCCATGAAGGGATCCTCGACTTCCAGGACATCGTGGACGAACATGAGCACTGCGGATGGGCCAACCCCATCGATCTGACAATCAAGGCATCAACCTCCAGCCCCTTCGAGGCCCACGGCCAGGCTTTGGGGTGGGAATTTCAGGCAGAGGACCTGTGAGGAGGAATATTCTCAAGTGTTTGCTGTTTTCATGTGGTGTTTTCTATTTGTTTTCCATTGCTTTCCACGGATTTCCATTGGTTCCTTTTCCATTGGTTTCCATATTGTTTTCCACTGGGTTTCCATTGCCACTGGGCCGCAGGAAGTGATTGAGATACGAGAAGACGATTGCGGAAACCGCGTGTCGTGGCTGCTAGGGATTAAAAAGTTTCCCTATGGCTTGAAACGGGAGGTTCAACCAGCAAAACAGGCGATGCAAAACCAAGCATAGGATCTAGGGATATTTATATATGTATGTATATATATATATATTACAATATATGTATATATGCATATGTACATATATGTTAATATAAATATTTATAACTATATATATATATACACAACGATTGTATATATAAAAAATAAGAGCCCTAAGGCCCTAAGGTGACCCTTTCCATAGAATAATGGAGGTTAATGCTTATTATTCACAGCAACTTGGCAAGGCTTTTTGACCATGTATCGTTGGTCCTACAACCATCATGACCATGATGGAATGGTAGAGGCGGTGGTTTGGGGTGTTGGACCTGGTGGTTGAGGTTGGCGCTTTGGGAACTGCCTCTTCCTTCTTTCATGGGTGCACAATCACTTGAAGATTGCCCCAGAGAGTTCGCCCAAACCACTGGTCAAACTTTGTGGATTGATCATCAAATGGATTAACCACTATTAACCTCTAGGCAAATGAGATCAAATGAGCTGCCGTGATCTCACCACGGTCTAGAAACACGTCATTGGGGGATGGACGTATAAAATACATCCCAGCTGTCCCAGCGATTTTGATATTCATCCAGGATACAAAGGGTTTTGATTCATGGCCAAATCCATGGATTTCATGTGGGCAGTCCAATAAACCTACCATTTGGGGATGGTTTGTATGTTTACCCTCTGGTAAACTAACATAGCAATGGAAAATCACCATTTTTAATGGGAACATCCACTTTGAATGACCATTTTCAATAGCTATGTTAAATTACCAGAGGGTATATCACCTATTTAATGTTCATCTAGGGGATGGGGATAAACCATCGGGCCTAGAACATTACATAAAGACCTGGAGACCTTGCCGCGAAACCCTCCCGGCAATTGGCAGCTCTGAGGTCTTGATGATGGGTGGCTTCCTACAATGCACCCTGATGGAGGGACCTGGACTTTTCACCCCCTGAAACTGGGGATTTTGAAATTGTGGGCCTCGGCAAAAGATAAAAAAGATAAGTTTCCAATATATTAATGGACATTTGTTGAAAATTATAAGGCTTGGATAGTATATTTCCATGTTGAAACTGGTTTCCAATTTCCATGATAAGGATTTTCTTTCAGCCGAAACTATTTCCATGATGAATTACTTCCCAGAAAATCCGAGGAGGTCATTCAGAACAGAAACACCAAGAACTCATCCGAAATGTGGCCACGGTAGTCACTGGTCACAGATAGTCACAGATGGTCACAGTATTGGGTGCTGAGTGCCACTCAAAGCCATGTTGTTGCTGCCCTGGCGCACTCGTGGTTGGAAGTGACCAAATCCCTGAGGCCATAGTGTGGATGAACATATTTATCACGAGACTCGGATTGCAGAGAATCACTCCACAACCCCTATTTTGGTGGGAAGGCTGCTTAAGCTGGTTTGATTGAGACGAACGCCTGGCATTGTTGATTTGGTTTCTGCTTCAGCATGCTTAAGATTGCTTATAGTAGCTACATGTACCTACTATAACCACTATTCTGCTGGTAAAATATGCTATACTATAACCAATTACAACCACCATATTTGGGAATATAGGTCATTCGTAGCATAATATAGGTTATTGGTGGTATAATGAATCATTCCTATCCCCACATCTGGTGGTAGCCAGGGGTAGCTGATGGGATCACGGACCAAGCCTTAGGAGATGATGATTCATCCTGCCTTGAGCGTTTTCCTCCTCCAGCGCCTGGGCTGTATCATTTGTGCTGCATTCAGCTGTAATATTATATTTATTTTATATTATATTATATTATATTATATTATATTATATTATATATTAATATGTTTTTTTTGTTTTGTTAAATTATATTTTATATATTATATTATATTAAAATATGTTTCTAAATTATATTATATTGTTTTATTTTTATTATATTATATTAAATCATATCATATCATATTATATTATATTATATGTTTTATTATATTATTATAATATTATATTTTATTTCATATTATATGTTATTATTTTTTATTATATTATTATATTATTTATTGTATGGGGCGGTGTGCAGGGCAGCTAAGCAAAACCTATCTTGGGGAATGGTGCCTTCCCAGCACTCTCGCGGATAAAGCTCGCGTGGTTTGCTTAGTTTGTGCCCATTTCATCCAACAATCACCCCATTAACCCTTTACACAGGATCATGGTTGTTTCAAATCGTCAATGCCATGCAAAACCTACAGCCATTCGATATTGCATCACTGGTGGATATATCATCCCATAACTGGCTGATGCTTTGGAAGCTTTGACATTGTCCATCCTTTTTCGGACATTCCCCACTGACTTTGGTGAACCAACCAATCAGAGAATATATGCCATAGAGGGCTAAGACGCCCTTCTTTTTCGTCGTTGGCGGTCGCTAAGCTCTTAAAATAAGCCCTGAAGAAGCCTTCAATAGTTCGGTCAGCGATTGAGTAGTGTACATAAGTTTTTTTTACCATACAAACATCTATGCAAACTGGATATGGATTATCATTGATATCTTTCTGGTAATTCAACATAGCTATCGGATTTGGTCATGTTGAGTTGATTTACTCAAAATGTTTTTTTTTCCATAGGAAACTGTTTGTTTACCAAAGAGTATCATATGGACTATACTCAGCACGCGGACTTAATTGATAGATTCTACCAGCTATTAGCAGCTATTACCTATCTGTAGCTATTATCCATATGCTTAATTCATGGATTATTTATAGATTATAACAACTATATATCAATGGGAATTCCAGGATCCTAAAATGAAGGTACTGTACCATATGTTTGGCCATATTTTGTTGGGATATCCCCTTATATACATAGGCCTTACATAGGCCTTACATAGGCCTTATATATGGTAGGTACCTCCATCTAGGATCCTGAAATGGCCATTGAATATATTACCTATTCATAGCTATGCATATTCCACCATGGAATGTCATCCGTTTTGTAAACAACCCGTCCCGAGGTCTGGCCGTGCGCCCGAGAAGATCTTCCTGGGAGGTTCTGGTGACGGTGCCGGGCCGCGCGAAGTGCTGCGCTGGAGCCTGGGCTACGCTGGTGAACAATCTAAATATTACCCATGATTCATTTATTTATATTAGATATATCTGTAAATACATGTAAATACTTTGTATTACTGAATAAAACATAGAGCTGCTATAAGTACTATAGAATTATATATAATATATATATATACATTATTTATTATAGAAGTGCTAGATGCTAGAAGCACGGTTATATAAGTATATTTATTATAGAAGTATTCAATTACATACACATGTGATATATGTACTTGACCTGACAGTGCTGGAGTTGGTCACCATTTAGTTGGATGATTTTCCCATTGGAAACCTCATTGATGGGGGATTTTCATGGATTTTCCATATAAAAAATGTGTTTCCTATATGTTTTCCATGATTTTCCCATGTTTTTTGGCATTTTGGCGACAGGAGAAGTGTGCTGAATGCAACCATGGTCGACATGGACTATGAGGTCACCAGATTCGCCTCAGAATGGATGCCCCAGTTTTTCGGCGGGCGCACCTTTTGCTGGGAAAATTTATGGAAAATGTGAAGTGACCATAGTTTTAGGGGACCCGGGGAACACATATCCTTAATATCCAACATATCTGATGAGATATATCATCTCATTGGTGAGAATATATCATGAATGATCATGACTCTGACATAATTATTGGATGAGGACATATTCCCAGTTGTATATATAGTCATTTGGATTGTTTGAGTCTATAATCCATCCAAAATCTCCACGGAGGAGTGTATCATGTTGAAGAAATGGCCCAGGTTCCATGGAATCAACGCAAAAAGAGTGAGAGAAAACCCTTGCTGGGATGGAACCTCTTTGTTCGAGCCACATATGCATATATGAATATATACATATTTATATATATATACACACATATATATATATATACATATAGATATCGTATATATATATATAGATGTAATATCAAGATTGTCGTTTATCCTTTGAAAAAGCTACATCTATTAGTATTAGTTCTAGCTATATTCTACATATACTCTTTCATGTTTGAGGATACATATTCATACAAACGTGTCTATATAGAAATATATGCGTACATATTCATGCATACACATCTAAACCAATGCATATCCATTTGAAAACGTTGCCAAGGTTGGCGAACGGCAGTTTTCAGGACCCCCGCTTGCACCTGGTAACAGGCCACTTTTGTGACAGCCGAAAGGTCTTCACCTGGTCAAAACGCGAAGGTTTTGACAGGTTTCATGAACAGTCTGAATTTGATTGTCGGATTGCAGAGACGGTTCTGCGGGGTAGCTGGGTTGGCGCTGGCTGTTATAGCTGAAGGTTTCCTGATGTGATTTCCTTGACTAAAGCCCGGCATGTGGCCTTCAGGTGATGCCATGCAGTACCTCCAGGAGCTTCCAAAGGACCATACCTTTGATGCGTCTCGGCCGTGAGACCTTGAAAAAGGTTAAGGGAGGCCTCAAGTACAGGTAGAATACGATGTGTTGGTAAATTATCATAATCAAGCTCTAGGAATGGATTTGGAATTATCCATATGTACATATATATATATATACAATTGTAGTTGTTGTCCTTTATGTTTAGATGGCAGCATTTTCTTGCTGACTATTGACATCGGTCGTGTTGGAAGAAATTGTCATCTTGGAGGGTGACCTCCCCCAAAACATCTCAGATCTTTGAAGCAGAAAACCTTCGATTGAAACACTTCAGATCCTTACACATGATTAACATGTCTATAGTGCATCTTAAATGTTGTCTATACCCAAAATTTACCAACCAAAGGATCCCTTCAAACAACAAACAACTCCACCATCTCCACCCATCTGACAGTCTGATGCCCGTCCATGTGTGGAGATATATCAATCCCCATGTTTATTGCATAAGTCCCGTGTAAAAAAAAACAACAAAACAGAAGACTGTCGTTTCTTCCCCATGTGTGCAGGTCATAATCCTGGATTTCCCAGATGTGGCCGATAGCCGGGCTTTGGAGAAGCTTTACAGCGTCTCGTCTTGTCGCTGTTTCATCCAGGGATTTCCACGTTTTTATGTGGGTTCGTACTGTTACCCCAGATTTCCTAATGACACCCCCGGGTTTATGAAGTTTATCAATATGGGTGTGTTTCCAAAAAAAAGTGATAATTACCTTCTTCGAGTGATACCCACCAACTGACATTCTATTTGACACTTTTTCTGGCATTATATTTCCCAATATGCCTAATGTGGGATATGAAGATGGATCAAAAGTAGGATTTTCCGTCTTGGGAGGGTGAACGTCCCAGCTGTACCAGCTATCAGCAGTGTGTGAACGGCACGGTGTCAAGGGTGTTGACCCACAGGATAAGTCGCGTTTGGCCCATCCAGTACAGGTGCAAACGTCAGTGGGGATTGTTTTTCCAGAGCTTTCTGGGGTGTTCAAAGTTGAGTGGGTTTGATATAATTTTGAAGTCGGACCGGAAAGGTCTGGTACGTTCAACTTGAAAAATGTAACTTTGAGGCTGATATGAGAGGAAGAAAAAACCAGAGGTCCCCAAGATGACCGCGGCAACCTCTGTACAGCCCCCAAGGTGTCGATTTCTACCGCCTTTGTCGTGAACATATGCATGAAAAGAGTGGCTTGGAACTGCTATTACAGTATCAATTATCGATGAATTGTTGGTGGATTTTAAATGATTTTTTCCATTCTTTATATGTACAGTACAGTATATATTTATACATTTAATGTTGAATATTGTTGATATTGAGGTAAAAATATAGTCATGGAATGTAATGGATATGGTAACTGTTCATAGGTTTTTCGGATTTCTTCCAGAGATGATCCCAGGCAAAATCAGGTGTTTTTCTCAGATTGTTTGAACCAGAAAGCAACCAGGAAAACCCCGCAGTGATCACATCTCTGCCGATATCTACAGATTTTCCCATGGATTTTCCCATCTCCGGTCGCAGCCAGGTGTTTTAGTGGCCCAGACTGGCCCCTGCACGCACATGAACCGCGCTGGTTTTCGGGCTTCGTGCAACATGTCACTTGGATGCTGGGCATTCGCGTCGCAGAAACTAGAAGTCCTACCCCTAGAAGGTGGGGCCCCAGATACTCATGTGGGTTTATAAATCAATTTACAAGCGCGAGGCACCACCTTAAATTGTGATAGTGGCGATGCAACAACCCTTTGCATAATGACAGTACAATGAGAGCGAACATGATATTTTTTGAAGGACTGCAGCAGGAATGATTCTGATGATGAGAGCAATGATAGCGATGATACATGATGATACCACCATATAGAGTACCTCTTGATTGTTTGATTGATGGGATTCCAAAACAAACAGATTTGGAAAAACATGTTGGAACATCTATAGTTTCAGTTGACACGCGGAAATGCATCAGCGAAAAGAAGATCCAAGCAGATATGATCAGGCTTCCCATCCGCGCACATAACTTCATTTTTTCTGGTATGTAGGTCACATCTTTGTTTCTAAGTGGCATCAATAGGTTTTGAATGTTCATGCCTGTTTACAACTAGAGGTCTGGCATTCTTTCCAGGTTATAGCACCAGTAGCTGACAGGCTGGTGGTTTCAGATCTGTTGAGTTTTTGTCCCGGAAAAAGGGATGATCTTCCCCATTGCGTTTCTGTTGTTTAGGGGCCGGGTGGCTCAGAAAGCAAGTGAGGTTGGAGCATTTCATTTTGCCCAGCATCGTCAAGGTCTTCCAGGAAGTAGCATCTCGGCACATCTAGACCACATCTCGACCACATCTCGACCACCCACCCACACAAAAGATGGAACTTAATGATCAAAAGAGAAGTCAGTCACCCGAAGACTGACTTCCCCCAAAGATACTGACTTCCCCCAAAGATAAAATCCAAAGCCGGGGATCAAATCTTCAATGCGCCACGAAGCATCATGGATCATGGGATCAGTCATTCCAAATGGGGGTCATGAAGGTCATGTCAATATTTGATCTTTGGATATAGTTGGGTAACCAAACTTGATGCTCAAATGATGCGATCCAAGTGCGTGAAGTGCCATCATAGTTTCCATTGTGGAACAGGTTCCAGGTTGCACCGCCTCAAATGGTCCAGAGAGAGAGAGAGAGAGGACTGCTGTAAACCTGTTCGCAACAGATTTGGACAAAGCAGACAATTTCAGAAACCCTTAGAGACTTTCCATGCCACTTTGATCTACGTCTGGTGATTTTTTTTCAGATTTGGTCGTAGAATGTCGTAGATCTCATTGGATATCCAGTGCCGAGGATGTGTTGCTTCACCCCATGGCAACTTGGAAAGTGGACAGGAGAGGGGCTGGGCAACTTGGAATGTTGGGATCGTTAGCCTTTACGATTTTGATAGCATACATTTGTCCATTTGATGTATGTGTCTTTGCATGCCTATATTATATTTTACATATGAAATTGTATGAGAAACATCTTAGTACTCATTGATATATACACTGATGCACAGTATACATATTATCTTACATAGAATGATGCAATGCATTCACATCTATGACTATGTATGTATGACCTCCCGTAATTTTATATAACTATGGAAGGCCCATTTAGTTTGATATTTTACCTATTTGCGTTGTTTGTTTTTCCCCAAAAGAGATAGAAAGGTAAACTCCAATCCGAAAAAAATGTGGACAAAAACAACGTGCAGTTCTATTTTTGTTATGTTTGCTATACCATCTGGTTATTTAACATAGCCATGGAAAATGGCCCATTTATAGATGGTTTACCTATTAAAAATGGTGATTTTCCATGGCTATGTTAAATAACGATACGGTACATTTGTTAAGGTCGCCAAACATCCGGTGGTTTTTTCAGGAGTATCTCCTCAGAGTGGTCCAGCTTCACCATGGCGAGGCCAAACACCGTCCCATAGGGCACTTCCGATGGCGAGTGGAACATGGGGTGGTGCGGAAAAATCACAATTTTTAATGGGAAAATAACAATTTTTAATGGGACAAGTCCACCATTTTTAATGGGAAAAGTCCACTATTTCAATGGTATAGTGGGACATACGCATATTCTTACTGGTGCGTTTTACGTAGGGTTGCTGGATGGGTGAATGGATGGGTTGCTGGGATGATGAAATTACGAATGTGATGATTCATGGATCATTCCCGAAAATTCCCGAAACGTAAAACGCAGCAGTAAGGAAATGATGGTGGGATTTTCCACATGTAGAATCCCCAGGGGAAATGGTGGGACAAGCTCTGGGAAACTCAGCTCAAACTGGTGCCTTACTGGGGTAGTTCATAGTGGCAATGAATTGGTATGTTGTTAATGTGGTAACCCTCAAAATCACCATGAAAAAATGGGTGGTATAAGCCATCCCCAAATAGTAGGTTTATTATTGGGGTTACCCTCTGGTAATTTAACATAGCCATGGGAAATGGCCATTTATAGTTGATTTACCCGTTAAAAATGATGATTTTCCATGGCTATGTTAGTTTACCAGAGAGTACTACATGGATTATGGGACCATACAGGCAACAATTTGTTGCTCCGCATGCTGATCCACTTTGGTCGGTACCTGGAGTATGGTAGATCAGGCAAGGGTCCTGTTTGTTTCCTGGAGGCATCTTTTCATGTAGTGGTACATCATATCCACATCATTTTACTGGCTTACACATCTCCATGTGTTGGTTAATGTTATATCCCATTATACATACACACACACACATATATATATATACTATATATGTATATATATATATATATTATAATGTACCATTAATATCCTATATGGTTGGGTATAACCCATCCATTTTATGCTTGGCTGCGCATCCCAGTCAGTAAATGGTTTGTAGCCCATACGTAGCCCATACGTAGTCCATGTAACTGGTAGTTCCTTTGAAGTGGGATGTACATCAGGTTGTTGTTGAGATCGTTGATTATACATCCCTTTAAGTACCATTACCCTCTGGTAATTTAACATAGCTATTGAAAATGGCCATTTATAGTGAGTTTTCCCATGAACAATGGTGTTTTTCCATAGCTATGGGACAGTTTACCGGAGGGTATCCCATTCATTTCCGTAGTTTATATCTTCCATGAATATTCAAGTAGCCTCTGGTAATCAAACGCGGCCTGAGAATCCACCAATGGATCATCTTCCCAGCAGGAAAACCTCCATTTTTCATGGGGATTTCCCTTTTGTGTTTCCTATTTCCTATGATTTTCCCATTGTTTATAGGGACATTTCCCAGGATTGTCCCCATTTCCCATCGATTTTCCCATATTTCTCGGAGAAAAAAACCAGCCAGGCTGGCCGAATTCGAGCCGCTGGATGTGTCCCAGGAATCCTGGAGGAAGCACATCGATGGAGAGTTGAGGCGTCGGTTCTGGAAAATGCATGAGAGTTTACCATCTGGTTGGTGATATTAATAGTGGTTAATTAATAGGGTATAAACCAACAACAATGGAATATGATGGTGATCTGATTGGTGGTGACTGGAACATGGCTTTTATGACTGTCCATAGTAGTTGGGAATTTCATCATCCCAACTGACGAAGTCCATCATTTTTCAGAGGGGTATGTATACCACCAACCAAATAGTGATGTTACCAGAAATGGTAGGATTTAACATATCAGACATGGGGATTTAATCAGCAACTTTGTGATTTAACCATCAAGCATGGGATGTGTTGGTTGATTCTTGAGTAATAAAGACCACCCCAATTTCCACTACGTCTTCAAATTATTGATGGGTAAAACTCATACAAGAATAGCATACAGCAGCAGAAGCTGAAAAAGTGGTTGAACATTACAGATTTACCATGATTTACCGAGCAACATTGGAGTTCAACTAGCAGATGATCCTCAAGAGCTATCATGGCGGGGCACCTTTGGCAAACATACAAAAAGCATCAAAAAGCTATTGAACATGGCCATTTACAGTTGATTTACCCATCAAAAATGATGATGTTTCATAGTTATATTATTATATATATTAGTTTACCAGAGGGTAACTGTTGGTGACTTCTGGCGTTTTTTCCAGAGAAATGTGAGTGAGATAACCTGCGTATAGATCTGCAGATGTGAGGATTTTTGTTGATAAAACAAGAATCCTGGCCTCGCTACTCAACAGTCAGATACAGGGATTAGTGTGCACATCGGGAATATCCAATGGATTGCTTTCAAGGAACGTTTTACAGGAAATCTCCACGATCTTAATTTGAAAATCGATGGTTTCCGGTGAAGTTTTTCCCAAAAACCGATCCATTGAGAAATGGAGGTACTACAGCGGAGCGCGGCATGTGGCGGCACTTCACCATCCAAGGCCCATGGTGAATCGTTGCTTAGCCCTGCGAATGATGGGTTTCACAGTGCTTGATTGGTGAGGTGTTTTTTTACATGTTTTTATGACCCAATATGTGCACATGCACCTATATCATTATATATATATATATACATATATATATATACATATATATATATATATATATTATTGGCTGGTGGTTTGAAACATGTTTCATCCGACCCATGGGATCTCCTATTTTTTTCATGGCGCTTATGTTATTTTAATAAATGTTTGAAGCGCCAAGTAACTCAACTCCTCAACGCCAGATCCCGTTCGCCGAGGTTTGTTGACGTTGCGTGGCAAGGCGCCCTTGCCTGGTACTTCACCGCTGCGGCAAGCTGCCGCGGAGTTGTGAGCAGAGCTGGATTGGATGGCGAGAATTTCGCGGAAGTTCGCGTGTTTTCAATATCGCATACCCTCTGGTAAACTAACGTAACTATGGAAAATAACATTTTTTAATGGGAAAATCCACTATAAATGGCCATTTTCAATAGCTATGTTAGTTTACCAGAGGGTATATAGCATGTTTGTAGCGGGAAAACCAGGACTTACTGGAATGTTTTATGAATATGTTTATGAATGTTTATCCGATAAATCCTTAATCCTGGTTTATCATGTTTATGCGGAAAATGAAGCACGAGTTTCATGCATCTTTTGCCAATGGTTTATGGATGTTTATGGCAAACTCCAGTGTTTGTCCATTGTTACTAGAGAAGCCCGGGTTTCTTGCAATGCGCCTTGATTGCTGGGACTTTGTTCCCGATCTTCAACCGACACAAGAGGAAGGTATTGGGCAAGTTCATATCGGACTTCATGAATCATCAGGACGAGTTCAATCTTACCAAAAAAACATGACTATTTTTCAGTTCGAAACCTCTCCAACAAATTGCCAGAGGGTAGGCAAGTCATGGCAAGTCCAGCAAAAATGATGCCAGAGACATCCAGTGAAGCTGCCGGAGGGTCATGCCCTTTGGCCCAAAAAAATGAGCGTGCAGCTTAACCTGGCACCGGAACTCCACAGGTCATATCGTGTCATATCCATGTTGATCAATATTCTAATTTACACATGATATCACATGATTTTTCAGAATTTCCTTACAACTGGTTGGGATTTCTCATTGCCATGTTTGGTGATGTTTAATTACTGGAGGTGTTTCTATTACATCAAGATCCCTGGGTTCCCTTCAAAAGACAGGAATGTGAGTGTTTGATGGTGATCTTGACGTGGTTTTCCCATTTAATTCTTCTCGCATCCTGCCCCATTTGCAACCAATTGCCTCGCAATCTGGATGGTTGGGGTAACACCGGTTTGATGACAAGATCAGCGAGATGACGTAGAAGAACTTGGTAACGGTGCGAAGGCTTGTTTTGATGTCTGGGGTGGGCCCAAAGGTACTCACCATGGACATTTTCAAGGTTGAACTATTTCCAAGTTACTGATAATGACATTTCCAAGTTACTGATCATTGACATTTCCAAAGTTGCCAAACTACAGGTGAAATACAGATGATCAGAGCCAGATTTCAAGCCCCCGGCCAGGTGTCGCAGGCTGAGTCTGGAGAACTTGCACTGAGGATTTAACTTACATTAGGGTAGTAGGGAACATTGAAGACTTATAAGTATATATATATGTAGTTATATAACCCCCCCCAAAAAAATAGAACATGTTGTTGTTTTCCAACATTTGAGTATGAAACTTATTGAAACCACTTTTTGGGATGTTCAACGGAAAGCACGATGAAACATTGGAGTGTCACCTGTCAGGTGGCCGTGTAGACGACCAGTGCAGCTGAGGGACAAAAAGGCGACCGACAGACGTGGCTGCAGAGGTGTGATATGTCCCACTGAAAAATGCAACCGGCATAGAATTGAGACAATCTTCAGGAATGGATTTGTTTATGTTGTTCGGGTTTGTTTCAAAAGCACTCAAAGCTGTACATTACAATACATTACAATACCAGATGTCAGGTAGATACTGTAGTTAGTTTGTTTGTTTTTTTTTACCGATATGGGGTTGCCTTGGGAATAGGTAGGACCCAACTCAATTTGAGATTGAGATTTGCCAGAATGTCATAATCTGAAATCAATGAAATATAGATATGAATGATATGAATTTGAAAAACCTGTACCACAAAATCATAAATCATACATCTGTATAAACAAGTGATTTGGATTGGGAAAAAAACAAAGTACCTTTTTTGTGACCCAGGATTCCAGTGATTTGCGTACCCTTGCGACGAGCGATGAAGCTAGGCGCAGAAACGGAAAGTGGTATGTCGTGGTGTCATCCGGGCTTTGGGTTCACAGTTTGACATGCCTCAAGCGTACAAGACCCATAGGATCCATGGTGCTATATATGGTAACATATGGTAACATGGATCCCATCAATATACCCGCTTTATGTTAGCATATATACCAGCACCATGGATCCGTCATGGGAGAAGGAAGGGCATTCTGTGAAGACTCGGAATGCGAAAAAAAATTAAGCGATAGACTTTGAATATTTTTCATGATTCTGATAAATGAAGAAATTGAGTTCCTTCTTCTTGTGTTTGCGCTCATACTAGCTCGCAGAAAGAGGGGAAATGCAAGAAAGTGTAGGACCTGGACAAACGAATCCTGCAATCAGCATGTCCAATTTTTGAAGAGTAAAATAATCGTTCTGAACCTTGTTGCGTATTATGAATACGTCAATATAATGATAATGAATAGTGATGATATTATATAATTAATGGTTCTTAATATACAATACGCGGTGTATATGCATATATATATATACATATGTATAATACGCATATGGATATATCTATATCTATATATATATATATATCTATCTATACATAATATCCAGATACTTGCATTGGCATTTGCATTGGCATGTGCGCACGCGTGCTCTTCGGACAGGCCAGCAGAGGCGTGTCAAGGAGCAGGCCGCCATCGATGCGATCCGTGCGCGGGAGGCCTTCTGAACTTCTCCTTGGAGATGGCGTGCGCATATGTTTATATATATATATAGATATATATGTGTGTATTATATATAGATATATTGATATTTGTTTATTTATTTATTTAGTTAGTTATTTATTTATATGATATAATTACGTCGTCTAATATGGCCCTCAGTCATTATCTAATATTTATATGGTTCCATATGGTTCCCAACTTATATATTATATGTTCTTCTAATCATTAATCTAATAAAAATATTGTTCTCAACAATTGGATCTGATATATATATATATATATATAATGAAAAGTAAAATAGTCTAATCATCAACAATCCGTAATTAGATATATCAGTTCTGGGAACAATTGGAGATGATTTGGGTCACCTTGCCATTCCGCGACACCAAAAACTGGGCGACAGGATTGAATCATATTGGATCTGGGCTGACACCAACAGACACGATTTACCAATCAGGTTGGCGGATTATATGGTAATGCTAAAAAAAGATGATTTACCCTCCGGTAATCAAACATGGCTAGCTGGGAAATCCCCTAAAAATACGGAGGTTTTAATTGGACAATCATCTAGTAAATGGATGTAATGTCCTGTGGTGCCCATCATTTCCTGAAGATATACGGTACCACCCATGTAAATCCATGTGAGGTTTGTAACATAGGTGACCCACTTAATCGCCTTTTGTCCATGCTGGGAAAAAACCTGTCAAACAAGTCAAACTATGTCAAAACCAAATTGAAATGAACAAAGTCCGGTGCATGTCACCAACCATAGCTATCACAACTCAAGTCCGGTCTGCGGGTGATTGTACCAGCCATGGCCCTTGAAAAACGACATCATTTTACCACCTGTGCAGGCGAAACCTCAGAAAGTGCAACGAGCCAAAACGGTTGAGGCGCGAGGGAAGAAGTCCACACTTATCACAAAGAGAAGATGTGGAATCACACAAGTATGGATAGAAATGCTGGTATACAAGATGCAAACACACAAAGAGAGAGAGAGAGATATATATAGATAGATAGATAGATAGGATAGGATAGGATAGGATAAGATAAGATAAGATAAGATAGATAGATAGATAAGATAAGATAAGATAAGATAAGATGGATAGATGGATAGATGGATAGATGGATAGATGGATAGATAGATGGATATATAGATGGATAGATAGACAGATAGATATAGATAGATATAGATAGATATAGATAGATATAGATAGATATAGATAGATATAGATAGATATAGATAGATAGATAGATATAGATAGACAGATAGATAGGTAGGTAGATAGATAGACAGATAGACAGATAGACAGATAGACAGATAAACAGATAGACGGATAGACAGATAGACAGATAGACAGATAGACATAGATAGATAGATAGATAGATAGATAGATAGAGATATAGATATAGATATAGATAGATAGGTAGATAGGTAGATAGCTAGATAGATAGATAGACAGATAGACAGATAGACAGATAGACCACAGATAGACCGATAGACAGATCGACAGATAGACAGATAGATGAATAGATGGATAGATGAATAGATGGATAGATGGATAGATGGATAGATGGATAGATGGATAGATGGATAGATGGATAGATGGATAGATGGATAGATGGATAGATGGATAGATGGATAGATGGATAGATGGATAGATGGATAGATGGATAGATGGATAGATGGATAGGTGGATAGGTGGATAGATGGATAGATGGATAGATGGATAGATGGATAGATAGATAGATCGATAGATAGATAGATCGATAGATAGAGAGATAGATAGATAAATAGATAGATAGATATAGATAGATAGATAGATAGGTAGACAGATAGATAGACAGATAGATAGATAGACAGGCAGATAGATAGATAGACAGATAGATAGATAGACAGATAGATAGACAGATAGATAGATAGATAGATTGATAGATAGATAGATAGACAGATAGATAGATAGATTGATATATAGATAGGTATGTACATATTTGATGTTTATTGGATCAACATGTGTATATCATTGTATGTGTATACATACACATTGGATGAACACTGGTGCCCCAGCGACCATGATTGGTTGATGGGGGAAGCTTCAGAAGATGACCCCAACTGTGGCGAGATGTTGGAAATACCTCACTGGAGCCTGGAAAAATGAGGGGAAAAACATGGAAAAACATCATCAAACTACGTGGAAATACAGTTTCTCGTTTCCAATTTGTTTGGTTGTTACCATATGTCCATAGTATGTAAGATTGGCAGGTGAGTATTTTTCTGAGCCTAGTCCGCTGGAACCAGAAAGATCAAGAAATCAATAGCCATTTCAGGTACCTAAACTGGAGGTACTGTTCCATATGAAGCTATGTTTTGGGGATATATCATCCCCTTACATAGCCGTTACACAGACCTTATATAAATATGCTAGGTACCTCGAATTTCGGTTCCTGAAATGGCCAGTCAAGAAGAACAAGTGCCATTTCTTTTTCAGAATCGACAGTGTCATTCACTGCCCGCGTCAGAGCCTTTGCCAAGAAGAATCCCTGGCAGGCCCAACCCAAGAGCGGCTTGACTTGGCTGGAAGATTTCTATACAGGCGAATGATGGGTGGCACCTTTGGAATGGAAGTAGTTGGGTAATGTGTCAGAATTTGGGCCCTCCAGTAGTAGAATTAATGTGGTACTGGAACAACATTGTTATCCATGTTTCTCCACTTTCGTTTATTTTTATATATAGGTAAATCATTTATTTTCCTTCCAGTCCGCAAACTGTTTATCGGAGGCCCATGCAACGGTCCGACTTGGTACCGCCTTGAGGGTCATGAATTGTTCAGCAATGGTTGGTCCTTTCTTGCACATAGCAGCCAACATAATTTTAATTATATAAAATTATGATTATATATTGATTTGATGCATGAAAATAATTATACAATATATATATATATATATATATAATATTAGATGCCTGGTGGTCGGGCACGTTTGATGGATTGTCCGCTGGGAATTGGTCCATGTTGTGCCCTGATTGGGATGGAACTGCTTCGTGTTTTTGTCTGCAAAGTGATACGTACGTCTGTTGTTTTACGTACAAATCCAACTATGTATCATAATGATAACTGTAACTAATAATGATAAATAATAATGATTATATATTTGGCATATATATATAATATATAATACATGTACATTAATCATCTATTGTTCATCTAGTCATGTTCCAACTTAGCTTACCAGCCTGGGGCCTTCCCTAAGCCTTGGGATGCGAAGCCCGCCAGTGCCAGGACCACCTGCCATTCGAGGCGTGGTGAGATATCTGGAAAATTCCATTAAAAATAGACGGTGAATCCACGTTAATCCCACTAAAATCCCATTCCATCAATTTCCCTCAGAGATAGATGGTTATCCCATAGAAGCCTGTATTTATGGGTGATAGATTGCTAATTGATAGATGGATGGCTAATTCCATTCAAATTCCCTCATTGATAGATGATGATAGATGGAGTTATCCCATTAAAAATTCCTCCATTTATATATGGAGGATTTCCAATTGCTAATGGTTGATTCTAGATGACTCTCGTATGCGAACTGGAACCTCAAGCTGAGGCCAGAGTGAACTGATGCCGTAGCTCTTCTTCGAAGGTGTTCATATGACGGTAAGCTCTGGTGCAAATAGACTCAAGACACTCAAGACACTCAAGACACTCAAGACACTCAAGACACTCAAGACACATGACCGCACTTGATCAAGTTTGTTATGTGTTGCAAACCCTGCATCCAAACATCTGTGATGATCTAAACTGACAGGTTATACAAAAACATACCAAAACATGTGTCAAAACTTGGTAGAGTCATTGGGACGATCTTCCCATTGATAAATCGCCCGAAAACATCCAAGAACCTCATGAAATATATGAAATCCAACCCACATATCGATCATTTAGCATATCTTAGCATATCTTAGATGAAAAACATCCTTAGATCGGCGGTTTGGCACCAAATTTTGTAGCGGCCATCGGCGTCGTCGCCATGGACCTGCCCAGCACGGTGAGAGTCAGCGCGGCCACGCGGGAGCTCATCGTCACCCGCCAGCGCCAAGCAGGGAGCGAAAGTTGGGATTCCACCAACAGACGGGGATTTTAGCAGCAAATATTCCAGAAATATCACATATCCCATAGATATTCCATAGATATTCCATAGATATTCCGTAGATATTCCGTAGATATTCCATAGATATACCCTCTGGTAAACTGTCCCATAATTATGGAAAGATCCACCATTTTTAATGAAGATCCATCAACTATTTCGACTGGGCCATGGCTTCAGCGAACTGTTAGTCATTACCAGAGGGTAGGATTGAAGCGGCAAACATGGAGAAAGACACTAGCAAAAACATGCAAACATGGTGATTTAACTGGCACAATGGAGATTTGACAAGCAGAATGAAACCATGACATGACTCATGAAGATCAGCGGCAACCATGGGAACATTTCGCCGGCAAAAAACAGGATCGGATCGGCAATTTGAATGAGGTGATTTGAATGAGTTTGACCCATATTTACATATATTTACCCATTAAATGTCCGTTTTTGTTTCATTTTTGTTTCATGGGTCAAAGCTTCAAACATCTGGAACCTCAAACAGCCAGACTCGTGGGGCCCAGCTGGACACCCAAACAACCGTGTCTCAGGAGAGGCGGGAGCTGTTGCAGGCCAGGACTTTGTGCTGTTCACGTGTTCGCCTGGTGGAGACATCCAATGTGCTTTGGTGTAGATGACAACCCCATCCGAACCTATTCCAATTAGATAAACTGTCTGGAATGTTTCAGGGTGCTAAGGTTTTGACCGATACAGATCATACAGTACATTTGGTCAGATGCTAATATCTAGAATCTAGAGCTGCTCTTTTTTCCAGCATATTTCAGAGGCCTTTGTGAACCTGCTCGTCGAAACGTTGTTTTTACACTTGAGAACGTCTGTCGCATGAATCAACCATGCACACCGTCAGGAGAATCAACCTGTCGATGTCGCTTGGCCATACGCTTGGTACTGGAGGTGGAGATGCAGTGCATTCCCAAAGTTGAGGGCTCTCAAGTCATTCCCATTTCTGAGGACTTTGTTGCAACATTTGCAACAAGAGTTAAAAGTGTCTAAATGATGTTGAGGTTTCATTATAGTTATCCAATGTTATCCACGATTTTGCACTTTTATGCAACATGATCTCTTTCACATTAATGGTGGTTTCATTTTCCAAATCATCCACTTCTAGATGGGATTTTCCATTATAAACCAACCATTTTCTGGGATTTTCCATTATAAACCAGGGATTTTCATGGATTTTCCACTATAAACCAACCATTTTTGGATACCCAACCATTTATGGAACCCCCTGGCTACATGAAACAGACCTGCCGGCCTCGGCTACTGCTGAAATGCATATGGCTAGCATGAATCATCCCGGGTCCTTTGCGGTGCTTACAGCATGAAGTCTACAACGGAATGATACGAAATGTATGATATACATGCTTTTATATAATATATATAATATGCATTATATACATTTTTTATCATTTGGTACAATATACATATATATATATATACATACATAATCATACATATATGTAACAACAATCTCCGTTTTTTTGTTAGATCAGTTGGATCCCATTTCTGCCTTTCCGAACTTCGAGGTCACTAGACCCGAGCTGTTGCAGAGTCATCCCCTTGGCTCCCGATGCGAGGTACTGGAGGGAAAACCCGTGGTGTTCAACCCTCGGATATCCCATGACGGATCCATGGTGCTGGTATATAATGCGAACATAAATGGGGTATATTGATGGGATCCATGGCACACCATATATAGCAGCACCATGGATCCTATGGGTATATATATAATTATACATTTGCATCTATGTTAGATTACTGGAGGGTATCTAAATTGGAGATACCTACCATTAATATAAGGTTTATGTAGTGTACGGGATATACACCCAAAATATGGCTTCAAAAGAGGTACAGTCCCTCCATTTTGGGAACCCGAAATGACCTTGATTATGGCGTACCCTAAGAATTGTGCCCTTAAAATGGGTACCCCCCGCTTAGTGAACTGGTGGCTAATTGATCTTAGAGTAACATTACCCCTCGCCCCTTGGTCATCAAACATGGGATCAACATCCATGGATATGGATGATATGAATATTAAATAATATTAAATAAGATTAATCTCTCACCTAGCAGCCATGTCAGACCCCAGAATGAAATATGAACAGATCCAAGCTTTCTCGAGTATGCCAAGTATGGGATAAGAAATCCGTAGAGGGCCCACTTACACATTGAATATCCCCCATGATATATAGTGATATGGCTTATATTTTTCCTTTTGGAATTATCTGGAATGCACATCCAGCGACCAAATGATTTGCAAACAATACATTGTATTATGTTATCATGAATCAGACGCTCTAGTCTCTATATATACATATATATATTTACATAATAATACAATGTCTACATAAATCATATGAGACATTTACGAAGTGCGGCGCTGCCGCTAGGTTGCCCCTGGGGGTCGCCGCGGCGTGGTGCGCTTCGTGGGACGGTGCGGAAACCTTTTCGGCAACCCGCGGAAAGATCGAAACGGCGATTTTTTTCGGTCAAAGGGGATGGATGTTTTTATTATTATTGTTCTAAATATATATATATATACACATGGTTATACTGTCTTAAAATATTACATAAAGCCCTGGAAAATGATATGGTTATAAATTGTAATTATGTGGATATATCATATCTCATGGAAAATTGCATAGTTTATCATATATCATAAGGGATGGTCCGTGGATTTTACATGATTTAAATAACCCATAATGCTACAGTAGTAAAGCAAATAATAAACCACCAATATGTTGATTGTTTATTACCACAATGTTATGGTTTATTATGGGGGATGGTGGATCCTTTTGCTAAGATAGACTGGGTGGTATTACATGCTGGAACCCCAGCCAGAATCCCCACGTAAGATTTATGATTTCTTGTGGAAACTGACATTTATTTCTCGTTGGTTGGGGCTGCAGGATGGATAAGTTAAGTGTTCTAGATGAATATTGTTGTTTGATGTTAACTTGATAGCAATGGATATGCTAAAGATTGCTAAAGGGATATTCATGGGGAGACGGATTGGATGGATTGGGATATTGATGGGATTTGAATTGCATGGGATTTATTTGGATATCAGTGGAACAGTGGAACTTATGAATTTATTGGAAGATTACACTCTTGTAAACTAACGTAGTTAAGTGGAACTTTCTTGGATTCAGGGGAATATTGAACTCTGATAAACTAACGTAGTTACCCTCTGGTAAACTAACATAACTATGGAAAATCACCATTTTCAATGGGAAAATCCACTATAAATGATCATTTTCAATAGCTATGTTAGTCATAACCAGAGGGTAATGGGGAAAAAACTGCAACCGCTTTAGCCGGTTGCATGGCGCTGAGGCCCGGAGGCCTTCAGATCTGTGTGGCCGTGGAGCTAGATGAGCTGCTTGGTGGAAACCTCCCATTTGAGCTGCTTGGAATGTGGGAAAAACAGGGAAAAACATGGAAAGCCATCTTATTTCCATATATGTCCATGATATTCCATGATTATTTCCATTAATGTGGTAAAACAATGCCATAAACCACCCATCTGGAAATGGTTTATATCACTGATATGTCACGGTGATTTGGAGGATGGTTTATGGCATTGTTTTACCCACAAAAAAATAGTATTTTATAGTAGCGCCCTGGGATTTTACGAACACCTATGAACATCTATTTTTTTGGTGGTTACTATGTGCCACCCATTGCAGGTGATGTTGCTGATATTGGGCCCAGATATTGATGAAATTGAAAGGGGTCAGGGATAATCTTAAGTCAGGATCAGTGAACCACCAGTTTCCTCAGGGTGGGGACCTATTTTAGTATGTTATAACTATGTTGGGTTAGTGGTGTGCAACTGGGGGGTTGGTAATCAACTACTTTGATAGCTGTGTGTTGTGTGTTTTTCTTTTTTTGCATGTTCAATTTCAAGTGAGAATAAAGATGATGCAAAATGGGTATGTATCTATATATATATATATAAATACAGATATCGTATGTATATGTATATGTATATATATATATATATATCGTGTGCTGCCCCGTGAGAACAAATATGATTTTTAAACTATAATGCAAATCATGTGGCAAGATAGTCTAGGAAGGAGGCATCCATCAACAACCACCAACCATCCAGAGACGGCAATTTAACAATCCAACAACCATGATATTGTTGTTTACAGCCACGTTATCAACCGATGCTAAAGATTGGTTTACAGCCATGTTTTGGCAAGATATGAGCCAACAACCGTTAACAATCCACCAGATATGAAATCTCTACATTTCTCTGTTTGTTCGGCTCATAGGGGCCAAAAGAAACGGCTGCCGCCTAGGATGCAGGGCGATGATGTCCAACTGGGCGGTCGTTGGTTGGATGGACCGCAAGCGTATATCCCTGAGGGCCGAAGATTTGATCAAAAACACCACGACATTTTACAGGAAAACCATGGAAAACCCCCATATTGATAGATAAATCTATGATAAATCCATATGACTTTCCGTTCAAAGCAATCCAGTGAAGCACGAAATGGGGGCCATCTTTGGCCCCAAACCATGCCAAGTGGGGGCCCAAATTTGAAACCCGATGTTCTGATCTCTTCATTTCATGGTTCTGCAGTGCGCGGAAGTGGTCAGGAGTGACATACTTTGAGCCCTCGCGCGCTGATGCCCCGGTGGTATGGAAAGCTCCAAAAGAAGTGGTTCCTTTGCTGAACTTGCCACAGCATGATGGTGTCACGACAATGTTTTGAACCTATTGAAGCTATTGTTTCAGCATTGGCTCACCAACTGTGACTCCCAAAGTTGGGCAATGCAAATTCTGTGGCCCCTTGAAGAAACGGGCCTGGAAGGAGGTCAGCATCCAGATGCAACAGACAATTCCAATCCTGGGGTCCTAACACATCTGGATGATATTTTGTTGAACAGCTCCATCATTCCTAACCCATAGGATCCATGGTGCTGCTATATATGGTGTACCATGGATCCCATCAATATACCCCATTTATGTTAGCATTAAAATACCAGCACCATGGATCCGTCATGGGTAATGTTTTGGATTTGTTTTGATGGTGATGTGATATCTCCATGATATCCTGTTCTCTTTTAGGATCATGATCGTCCAGAAAAATCCCGAAGCCGCCGCAGCGTCGCGTTCCCAGGTCTGCGGCGATTTCCCCGAGCAGCTGGGCATTGTCCTTTCGTATGGGATCTGCCATTTATGGCATCATAAACCCATAGCAGTTGGGGATGGTTCCAATTAAAAAACGGTGATGCCGCCGCTGAATCGACTTCCTGATTCGCTTGAAGTTGGTGACTGTTTTTGGTGACTCCAACGATATTGCAAACCCTCTGGAAACGGCAAAAAAAAGCAGAGGCCTTTTTCCACAAGTGGGACTTGTCAACCATGTTTAAACATGTCTCAGAGATTCTCAAAGCCTTGCCCTCGGGGGGTTCTATGAGATCCGTGGTTTCGAGGTTGGATCCATTTGCGGACTTGTCCGGCTGAGCCGAGCGCGGCGACAGCTTTTTGGAGCCACCCAAGCTGCGAGTCCGTCGATGAAAACGCTGTCCTTTCAGATCGTTGGGCAAAACTTTGGTTTTCATGGGTCGAGGGTTGCTGTGAATTGGAACATATTGGGACACGGCTTCCACAATCGGATTGGGGGCGGCCAGATCCCAGGAGCTTGTCTGTGATTTCCCAGCCGTGTTCGCGGATCCAGTGATGGACTTCCAAAGCAATCATTGTGCCATGATACCTCCCCACTTCACCCCTGCCAGAATTGGTTGGTTTTCCCCGGAAAAACAATCCTTTGACGCCAGGATCGCGGTCAGAACCACAGAATCTGAGCACTGAGGTGGAGGCCGGCGGCAACGACGGGACCTCGGGATGGATTTGCGCTTTAGATGGCAGAAACATGGGGATAGTCAATGATAGTCACTAATCAAACTGTAGGTTATACAATTACTGATTATTTCACTAATCAATCAAACATAGTCAAACTATAGCTTCATGATTATTTCAGGTTTGTTGTTTTTGAAGACCCCCATGTGTCGCATATACTCTTGGGATGGACAGAACTGGGCAGAGCAAAGGCCTTTGGTGTTGCTATGATGCATATATGATCACCCCTTTAAGGCTACTTGTCAGGGAGGGACCATACCAAAATGATCCAGAATGTAAGATACATTTTTTGGGACACCCCCTTAAATGTAAAATTGGTCGCTGAACGTCCCCCATGTCGTTTTTGTGGGGAGGGTCTTCAAGATACGTGAGCTTACATTTTCAAGGCCCCCCTCAAAAACACCTTGAAAAATGTAGCTTACATTTTGGGTACGTCCTCCCACCTTAAAACGGTGGTGATCATATACGGAGGTTTCCTAAAATGAGGGTACCCCAATAGCTGGATGGTTTATTTCATGGAACATCCACCTAGCCTATAAAGGATGATTTTGGGGTACCCCCGTTTTAGGAAACCCCCATATTATCTCGCAAGATTGAATCGCACGGCCGTAGATATGTACACATATTATCACATATTGATAAGTCACACATTCATACCCTTGGCGAACATCATAGTTCTGTGACATTTTTTAAGAACATGGCGATTTCGGGACTTCTGCTGCCTTCTTAGGCCTATAACCCAGAGCAATATCGAGTGGCACCAGCCTTGGGGTGAAAAATCTGGACGGCCTGAGGAAAGTGGGGTGGTACCCCCAAAAAAACTGGGAAAATGATGAGAATCCAATGGATTTAAGGTACCCTCTGGTTATGACTAACATAGCCATGGAAAATGGCCCATTTATAGATTGTTTACCTATTAAAAATGTTGATTTTCCATAGTTATGTTAAATAACCAGATGGTAAGATAAACGATTTTCAGACAAACCAATTTCTTCGTGCAAGGGACGCTTAAGATGTGCAATAGACTTGCCATGAGAGCCTTCTGCAATCGACAGCTTGGAAATGGGGGAAAAACATAAAGCATTCCCTCTACAACAGTGGTTCAAAACGATGCCACTGGCTGAAAGGTCTTCGCCATAAAATCCCACTATCCAACGTATATCCCATTTTTATCAGATTAAATCATAGTGATTATCATCCCATGGCCACTAAAACTCCACTGATGTCCCATTGAAATCCCATCAGAATCCCGGCCCACTGGATGTGAGGCCCAAGACGCGGCGACGAGGTGTGGATTTCTTGGAGCTTGCGGCGGGGAGATGTGGAGCATTTTGAGGATTGAGAGATCTCTATGGGCTTTGAGTGGGATATATATGGGATGATATACAGATACCCATAGGATCCCTAACATTTGGGGTATATTGATGGTAAATGTTACCATATATAGCATACATGGATCCTATGGGATATGAAATGTGATATGAATTATAAAGTATACGGATATACTATATGATACTGATATATTATTGTACTCTCTAGTAATCTTGTTACAGACTGAAACGTGTTTTTTTTTATTCGTGCGAGTTTCTATGAGTTTCTTTTTTCTGTAAAGGGTACTGTAAAGAATGTGCCAGTGGTCCGTTGTGAAATCTTGTAGTTGGACATAGTTGAACAGTCAGTTTATCAAAACACCAACATGTGCGTGTGTATTTGAATCATGGTACCCGTTGAAGTTCGCTTTCGTTCCGCACGCGTTCTGCTCCATGACAGCCACATGAAGATTCCTCCTGTGAAGTTGTTTCCTTGAGTATCCTTGAGTATTTCTTTTTGCTTGGGCTTTGTTTGCTGGTTGGTATTGTGTTGGTTTATCATGACTTGGTTTGCAGCATACCTTCATCATTTTTGCTGTTTTGTATGACTTTGTATGACTTTGGGGCTTACTCTCTGGTAATTTAACATAACTATGGAAAATCACCATTTTTAAAGGGAAAATCCACTATAAATAGCCATTTTCAATAGCTATGTTAGTCATAACCAGAGGGTTTGTGCCATGTTCCGATGCATGATCTAAGCAAGGAATCGTCCACAGCAAGAAGTCACTACTTCTGATCCGGCACCACATGGCGCATCGTTCGCGGCTAGCCATGCCCAGAGCGGCGTTCGGTGCCCGGCAGGATGTGGTGCAGGGGGAAAGCACGAGCCAATGTTCAATGCCATAAACCTACCATTGGGGGATGGTCTATAAGTCTATAGCACCCAGAACAAATTGTGATTTTGGAAGGGTTTATTGTTGAGTTTTCCGCGTTAAAGTCTTTCATCATCTCATACATTTTTGGATAACAAGTCACATAGATTCAAACTTACAGTCATTGTTGAATAATGTGGAAATCTAATCGTCAGTAATTATATGTAATTATTGAACAAGGAATCGTCAGATCGTTTCACTCAGTTGTACTTTTGATGAGGCAAATGAGTGCGTTAAACCATTGGTCCGACGTTGAAACCCAAGTGGCGAAGGAACATAGCATAGCTATGGGCTAGTGGCTTTAGTGACTTTAGTGGATAATGGTAGGTGAACATCCCGCAATGTCTTATTTTGAGATGTTCACCCGGGGACCAGGGTCTTGTTCGCAGGAAGTGCAGTCAATGGTGTCTCACTGTGCCTCAGTCACAAGGCTAGCATTTCAGTCCAAGGCAAATATTGTGCCATGTTTCGTCCTATGTTGCAAAACATATTTATTTTAATTAATTATGTTATGTGCCGACCCCTAGTTGGAAGGTACGATCATCTAGTCTAAAGATTGGAGTGGCCCATGGATTAGGCGATGGTCAACTCCATGGTGTAACATCATGACCACAGGTCGCGGAAGGGAACCTCAAGAGTCACTGTCTTGAAATGAATCGAGTGCAGATTCCCTCAGCCGAACTCGGCACCCGAGCCATGGCGAAAGGAACGAGGTCCAAACACCTCATTCCCGCGCAGCCATTGAGACCTTTAGAGCCACGGGTGCTCAATGGATGCTCGGTACAAGATGGATATAGACATCCTATGTTTACATGTTTAAAATGAATTATCAGCAATATTTTTCCAAAACAAATCATGCAGTTGTGTAATCCAAAACAAATCATGCAGTTGTGTAATCTTATTTAGTTACACCAGTTTATACAAAAAATCTAAACCAGTTAGATCAACATCTATTTGGCTAGTAAACAACCATTTAGTTGATAAACTGGTAATAACAACCATCTATACAACCATTTAAACAACCATTTGGCTAGTAATAACCATACAACCATCTATAAACAACATTCAAACAACCATTTTGTAGCCATCCAGTCTACCCATCGAGGCCGCGGTATGCGGGTCCTTGGCTTCGTGCCGGCGCACGGCAGTCTGGTGACCAAACCTTTGGCGGCAGCGGAGGAGAACCGGGGAGGGCTATGGTGACTTGTTAATTTATCTGGTTGGTGGTTTGCAACCATGGAATTCTATATATTTTATGACTTTCCATATATTTGGAAGTTCATCATCCCAACTGACTCCATCATTTTTCAGAGGGCTAGGTATACCACCAACCAGTTATTCATGGAAAAATAAATATATACATATAATCTTATATATATATATGGAAATATGATGAAACATGAGGTTTGAACCAGCTTTAGTCTGGTTCTTTGATTCGGATCACCCGCGGATCGCCAGCAAGAGTCGATAACGATAATGGGGCTATGACTAGTACGTTCATGGGGCCATGGGGCTTGAAACCACCAACCGATCATGAAATGTCATGAATATATTCGGGGTGTTTAGTATTATAGTATTGTTGGTACTGCAAAAAGGTGGATTGATGTATTAGGTCCGGTAATGTGTTCGAAGCAATCAACAAATGGAATGTGATAATGTGATCAATACTTGTTTTCATGGGTTGAAACGGGGTCCACTCGGCCACCACAACCACTTTGCTTCAGTCCATGGTGCTGATCAACCTTTGATTCCTGCGGTTTTGGGGAAATTTTGATTGATGTGAAGACAATAAGTTAAGTAGCAATGTATAGCCATTTCAAACTCTTTTTTTTTGGCGCATCCTTTCGAGTTGCCAAACGAGTTGGAAGGACACGCCATCTGCCAAACGCCCAGAGGATCCAGCCACTCGGGGCTGCGTTTCTCGTTTCTCTTCCACCGTGAGATGCGATAGTCTCCATTTGTTAGCCAAGTAAAATTGTGATTTACCCTCTGGTAAACTAACATAGCTATTGAAAATGGCCATTTATAATGGATTTTGCCATTAAAAATGGTGATTTTCCATAGTTATGTTAGTTTACCAGAGGGTATATAATTTTGATAAAACATATGATCACCTATTGGACATCTATTGTTTATTTCAATAATATGACGACCTATTGCATTGCAAAAAAGTTGCCCAATTTATTGTCGCTGTTGCCCATCGGAGGCCAGAAACTGTGAGGCGGCCTCTGTAAAGGGCCCCTCCGCTTGGAAGAAGGGCCACCTGGCGTCGTTTCCAGGGACCAAGGGTCAGCATTGTTCCTATCATTCTATGTGTCGTGTTTTATTCATTTTTTGGGGCATTATCTATATTAGTACTTAACATTATTCAATATTGTGTTATTATTATGTTATTCTTATTTGATATTTCATCATTATAATTAATATGATTGGTTCCCAAGGATTGGTTCTATTACCCTGCAAGTCCCAAGACCATAGAGTCATAGCGGGCCCAGGGCCCTAGAAAGAAATAGAAAGAACAGCTACTTGCACAGTGGGACTATACAGGGCTATGAAAATGCCGAGTATTTTTACGGCCGGGAAAGGAAAGGAAATACCGCGTGTTTTATGGCCTAATGTTGTAGGGAAGGAAAAACCAGAGTGCGATTTGATCAATCACTTTGTCGAATGGCCACGCTCGAACCAAACAATGCTCACGATTTCTCACGATTTCAAACGTTCTCAAAATCGTGTTCTCACGATTTTCTACGTACCTTTTGGGTCTTAGTGCGACATTTTGGGTCGGGCTAAAAAAAAACTCATACCTCATGGGTCCCAAGAATTCGTCGAAAACTGTTTCGAAATCTCCCAAGATGTTGAACTTTGGATTGCTGGTAGGCTTTTTTTTTGGGGGGGGCTATTAATGTGGTAGCCAGTGTCATGAACCATCTCCAGCCATGTTATGTGGCAGCCCCCAGTTGCGGTTGGTGAAAATTGCATCGTTGATGAGCAAAATCCAGCATAATCCGTTTCGTACTTTTTGGTCCAGTAGGCTTAAAAAGAACATTCTACGGAGGTGTTCCCCACCTTCTTGGCCTTTTATGGCTACATTTGCGATGCGGATATGGCTCAGACCTCAAAATTACGTCCAACGGACTTTCAGGTTCTTCAGGGTTATGTTCTATAATTATACTAGATTCATCTATACTCATCTATATTCATTTATCTTATGTGTTGATTTGTTTTGTCTGCTTTTACCCTCTGGATCCCTCTGGTAAACTAACATACTCGTAGCTATGGAAAATCACCATTTGGAACAGGCACATCAACTTTCATTTCATTTCATATGTTAAATTACCAGAGGGTACTTCTTCGATGTTGTTTTCTATGTGTTCTATACACATGACATTTCACCAACACAACCGTGATCAAACTTCAACTGCGGCATGGGCTGAGTCAGTCTCGTGAACTCTGTCCGGCCGAAAGGGAAGTTTTGCTATGGAAGCTATAGATAGCTGTAGAAGCTAGAGAGTTCGCAGATGTTTACTGGATTGGTGAAGGAAAACAGGAAAACTTATGATTTTAGTTTATAATAATAATAATGATTGATTTAGTGTTCTCAAAGAGTTCTTGTGGCTCTTTGGCTCGGGACTTTCGGCATAGCCCAGGAAAGCCATTGTACGCGCATGGCAACTACGGGAGTTCCTTGGTTTCATAATATACTACTGTAAATCATACTGGATCAATCTGGATCCATGTTTGGACAAATCTGGAGGCTGGGCAGGGACCCAATTGTTCACCTATATTTCTTGGCAAGAGACTGTCATGATTGAACATATCCAGGCATGGTAGCACGTGGGTATGACATGGCTGAAGATGATGTGCTCCCAAAAATTGGATGGCTGAACAACTATGTAAAGGATAAGAATGGACAAGAGCTTCTGTTGTGGTTCCACTCACCACCTTGTTGCGCCCTGGCCACATGATCTCCAATTTTACCAGCTTTCTGGTGAAACGTATGGTGAAACCAAGCACAGGTTACTACAGCTACCGGCACTCACCGGAAGATGTTCAGGGAGATCGGCGCTTGGTGGCGCTCAGCGAACGTTTTGGGACACCTGGCTGGGCGAGGGATGCGACCCGCAGCGGGTGCTCAAGGCTTCAGCCATGCTCTCGGTAAACCCAGATGGATGGGATGCTTTATCACCAATGAAGTACCATTATGTACCATATGGATTTATTTGAAACTTAAAGGATCTTATAATTAAGTATCCCTAGATACACTCAACTTAACTATCAATATCTCATCATAAGATTGCCACAACTTGGGGCTATACCTGACTTTCAGTCACACCCGCATACGCTTCTACTATCGCCATCGATCGCCTATTTTCCCCAAAAATATAGGTTCCCTGAAAGAAAATGTGGCTCTCGATTCTCGATGACGAGGAACGACTTCCTGAAAGACAAAGAGGTCCTAGACATCGGCTGCAACTCGGGACTTTGCGTCCGAGGGTTGGTCCACATGGGATCCACATGGAAAAACATGGCCCACATGTCTGGTGCTTCCCCCCCTTTGAGATTGAGTTTGCTCCACTGTAATTAATCCCCGTTTATAAATCCCCTTGAATCCCGTATAATTAAATCCCATAAAATCCCTTAACTATACAGCCCACTAAAAGTATCTAAAAGTCGAATATCAAACCCTTATAAGTTGCCTAATCCAGTCTAGATCCCAGAAATTTCCAAGTTTTACCGGCCCGGCTTCGCAGGACTGGTGTCCATCTCTGCTGCCTGTCACTTCTCGGCCCGGCGCGTGCTCGGAATGGACCTGGACAGTGGGCTGATCGAGGCGGCGGAGGAACACCTGCGGTCTTTGGGAGGTGCCCCTCCTGGGGCCTGGGGGATGAGGATCATGTGAGAACTGACCAGACTGGTAGGAGGTTCATACGGGAGTTTTCATAGTCATGGGGGTACCCAATATATACCCTCTGGTAATTTAACATAGCTATTGAAAATTGCCATTTATAGATATTTATAGTGAGTTTTCCCATTAAACATGGTGATTTTCCATAGTTATGTTAGTTTACCAGAGGGTAGCTGGATGGTTTATATAGAATGGACATTCTATTCTATCTAAAAATGGCTGATCAATGGGATCACCCTATGACTTAGGAAACCTCCATGTAGGGCATATACTAGCTAAATCTAGCCATGTTGTTGGGGGGGATGATGGCTAGTATCGGAAACCAACCAACTATATACCTAGTAGAATGAGATGGGATAGGGGTATTTTTAATGCCCTGGGGTGAAGAATTTGGCGGAAAATTGGTGAAGATGAGATTTTTATGAGATTTTAGTTGGAGATTCAACACAGGGATTCATTTAGATGAGATTTATAATGGATAAATTTATATGGTGATTTATATGCAGATTTCCGGTGAAGGATTGGTACGGTACCCCTTTTCCATTTGTGATTTGTGGCAACCCCAAGAACGAAAGCATCGCAACATGCCCAGTGACTTTACAGAAATGGGTGATATCAACTTTCCAAACTTGTAGTTTTATTTTGGGGGTTTGCCACATGAATGACATCTCATTGGTTTAAAGTTAAACGATATAATCAACATTCAGCAAAATTGGGATATTGGGGATGTAATGGGGGTTGTAATTCAAAATAAGGTTAACACCGGATTAATAAGCCCGGTTTAGTTACTGTAATTAAATTATGGGAAAACATTTTCAAAAATCGAATGTATCACCAATTAAACAGGGTTTCACAAATCTGGGGTTGACACTATATATTGTTTCATTTTCTGGGCGGGAATGCAGATATGGATAACTTATCATTCCCTCCATTTCAGAGGGCAGTTTCCACCCATGGCAATAAAACTGGCAATCCATGTGGAGGTACGCTCAAACT